TGTGTGTGTTTTTCTTTCCGCCTTTCCAGATATAAAAAATGTCGAAAGTCGGAGACAAACGAAAGGCAGGAGAAGAGATAGAGTGCGAACGATCTCCAGATCTATATGCACCGTGGGGGGGTAAAGATGAAACACAGGCTTTAATCGATGAGAGCTGGGCTGAGATAGCTGTAAAGCAGCAAAAAGTTATAGATARACTGACAGCTGAAGTAATCGAGCAGAAACAGTTGCTCACCCAGGCGCGAGACGAGATAGCCCGTGTGGAACTTGCATTCGTGGAAATGACAGAAACTGCGGAACATACATTGTATAGCATATTCTGGTTGTTGCTGCCCCATTCGAAGTCTCTTGTAACGGATCTGAGGGAGGGCATGACYGAACAACTCCAAAAAATAGCTAAGGAGAAGAAGGGCACGTTTGAGGAGTGTCAGAATATAGTTGCTGATCTTAAATGCTATCGGAAAATCCTTCTTCTTAACACGAATACTGCATTCGGTGCCAGAGCACAAAACGCGTGTGAATCGGATGTCACATGTTGTTCCTCTGCTGACAAATGTGTGGTCGGGGAAGGGTGGGCGTCGTACGATAGTGAGGAACTGAACAGCGGTCCGCTGACAGCCTCGTCAAAAAGTCTTGTAGACCTCTTGTCTTTTGCCGAGGACTGCATCCGTCATTGCACGAAGACCATAGAGCACTACACTCTTAACCATCGCCTGCAGAACGATGGTACACATATGGAATGCGATGGCCTTAATGGGAACTTGAGGTCTCTGCTCAACAGCTGCGCCGATATTGTATATTCTCTTCGYTACACCAGAGGTCGCCTGGCATCGGGACAATTGTCTGTAACGCCGAACCCTGTAGAAACCATGAAAACATACAATGCGCAAACCGCGAATGCCAGTCGGGACGATGATCTCACTATGCAGATGTTCGATAGCAACAAAGGTCGAAGTATCTGTGAGCCAGCGACACACTTGTTGCTAGACTGCAAAGATATCAAATCCTTTCAATCTCATGAAATTCGACACAATTTCCCTTGCGTACTCGCCAGCAAAGCACCGTTGACAAGCAATGAATGGTCAACAGTACCTATGACCACGGAAATATTTGAACAGTTCGTGGCAAGTGCGAATAAACGACAAATGGCAAGGCTCGTGGCGGACTGTATATCCCATCTCATTACTTTTGCAAAAGAGATGATGTCGAAGGTCGTTGCAAACGCAGAGCGTCGTACGGAGGCGATCGATTGTAAGCATTGCAAGAAAGAACTCCACATCAACGACCGGCTAAGGGCACTCTATAAGAGGTGTAAAGTCATGGCTGAACGTCTCGTTAAAGAAGTTTGATGTACCTCTCCCTCTCTCTCTCTCTCTCTCTCTCATATTTATATATGTATACATGTATGAAGTGTCTGCTTTAATGTCATTATGTTCTTGTCGCCAGGTTCGCCTATTCAACCCCTGTCKCAGCCTACGAATGACTCGGTTGACTACTGCGTGCCATAATAGGGTTAAACGTTACTCAATAACGTCGTTCTGGCCCGCAGTAGCCAACCTCTCTCTCTCTCTCTCTCTCTCTCTCTCTCTCTCTC